GTGCGGGGGCGGCGCGCGCGCGCTCGGGCGCGGGGTGCGGGCCGGCCCCGGGGGGCTCGGGCGCGTCGCCGTCTTCCCTGCGTTCCTCCTTGACTTTCACGTCGCCCTGGGGCCGCTCGGCCGGCGCCTCGGGCGGCTTCCCCGGCTCTCGGCCCAGGAGGCCGGCCAGGCGCAGGCTGTCGCCCAGGGCCGCCTTGCTGTAGGGAGACGGCGGGCGCGCGGCCGGCTTGGCGCCGTCCTCCCTGGCCGGTGAGCGGCTCTCCTTGACGCGGGGCTCGGCCTCGCGCTCGGCAGGGACCCCGGGCCGGCACGGCTCGCCCTGGCCGCGGAGCAGGAAGCTGCTGACCGGGTAGCCCGCCGGAGCTGCGGGCGAGGCCCGGCTCAGCAGGCGCGTCTTCTCCAGGAGGTCCCTGGGAGTGAGGAGACAGACACCTCACTCAGGCTCCGCCCAGGAGGCGCTTTCAAGCTGTTTGCTCCCAAGTTCCCACCCTCTAGGACCTCAAGATCCCTCGGGGTGAGTGTGTGGGGGTGGGAGGTCCCTTTAGCACCCTGTCAACACATGGTAACAAACCCACACCCTCACGAAGGACCCCCAACAGCCCACGCCTCCCTCCCTTCGATAAACTGCCGGGAAGCCAGCTTTGCAGAGCTCTTCCCACATACCCAGGCCGCTAGGCCCGCAGGTAGACCCTCAGTGAGGAAGTCGGGCCCAACCAAAGTCACTGGAAGGGTAGGACCCTGGAGTCCCGTCTTGGCCATGGCTGACCCTAGTTCTCCTTCACGAGGCCGAGTCCGGGGACAGGGAAGAGGTCATGGCTGGGGACGCTTCTCTGGTCTTGTTCCCTCGGCCAGCCGACCACAGCTCAAAAACCCTCAGATTCCAGACTCTGCTGCTGACTCTGGACTAGGACCCCAGCCTAGTCCTGCTGCCCAGGGGCATCCTCCCGGCCAGAGGATTCCCCCATGGGTGCTCCTCCCAGACCTGGCCCCCACCTGGAAGATGCAGGTGGTTCCGTGGCCCTGCTAAGCCGAGCTCCCTGCAGAGAGCCTACTGTGGTCAACAAGCCAAGTGTCCCGGCTGCTCCTTCCAGGGGTGGACCCTCACCCCTCTGGACGGCCCCTGCCCACATCCTGCCCCATCTGGGGCTCTCCCCTGGCCTTGCCCAGCCCTGAGGGTGCAGCGAGGGGGGTCATCAGGGCAGAGCCCTGCAAAGCCGGCAGGAGGCCACAGGAGCCGGCTGGGTGCCACTCACCGCTCCCGCTCCTCCCTGCCCTTGTCTGGCTCCCGGTCGTGGTTGGTCAGGGCTGAGACCCGATCGGGGTCCACAGGCTTAGGCCATGGGGGCGGTGTGGGGAAGGAGGGAGGCGCCCGGTGCAGCCGGTTCCAGGCCTCGTGGGGGCTGGGCAGGCCGTGCAGTGCGGAGCTCTCCTTGGGGGCGAAGATGCCGCTGCCCTGAGCTGGAGGGGGGCGGGGTATGAGGCCGGGATAGCACTGCACCTCTGCCCAAGGAGCCCCATCCCTGCCCAGGGCACCCCGTGGAACCTCAGGGCTGCTGGGGGGGGTGGGGAAGCACTCCATTCCCACGTGCTGAAGGTGTACCCCAGGGGGACAGCCAGAGGGGACCAGTCAGCCAGGGGTCAGGGTGTGGCCCAAACCCACGAGGAGCTCCGGCGTGCACGCAAGTGAATGGGAAGCAAGCACGGGGGTCACTCACTCAGTGCGTGGCTCCCCAGGCCTCCGAAGGCGTTGCTGCCCAGGCTCCCCAGGCCCCCGAAGGTGCCTGACCTGCCGAACGGGTCTGCGGGGACAGCGGGGCTCAGGCTTCTGCGTGGCTCATGCCAGAGCTCCCATGTGACTCACGTGCACCAGGGCCTGTGCTGTGACTCCAGCAACTGCTACCTATACGATCTGAGGGTCGCCTCCCCACCCACCGACATCCCCTGCCCCAGCCCTGAGGTCTGCAAAGACCCAGGCCGACTTCAGGGACCCGAGAGCACCTACCTGTCAGGTGACCAGAGGTCAGGAAGCTGCCGGGATGGGCCGAGGGTCCGAATGGGTTGGTGGTGGGGTGGGCCGCACCTGTGGGGCGGGGTGGTGGAAGCCTGATGTACCGGGGCCACCCCAGCTTCCTCTGGGGATGTCCACACCTCCCACCGGAAGCACGCCGAAGGGGGCAGGTGGCGGTGGAGCCCCTGGGGAAAGGGGCACAGAGAGCCTTCAAGGCTGCCCCTGAAAACGCAGACGGGAACCTCCAACTAGAAGCTAATGTGTCATCGTAGCCACGCAAGCGTCCTGGTGCACAGCGGCCGGTGTCACGGCTGAAGACAGCAGCCCCTCCCGTGGGGTCCCCCGCCACAGCCCACAGGTGTCTGCTCTGCCACTCATCCGTGGCCCTGCCCTGGCTCTCCTGAGACCCCCTGACCCCACCCCAAGGGCAGCAAGTGGGGCGCGGGCCCCGGCCTTGCCGCTAGGGTGGGACACACGGCCTCTTTCTCGAGGGTGGGTTTCTGTCGAAGACCAGTGATGAGGCCACCGGTCTCTCCGGCGTCCCCCGTCTTGGGAGACCCCCACAGGGGAGTGTTTATGTTTTTGCTGGGCTGCCGCAGGCACGGAGCTCGCCCACCAGAAAGCTAAACCCAGTCCTGAATGACCCCCGGGCCAAAGAAATCAAACAGGAAATCAGGAAACGAGAAGTGGCTGGCCCAGGGCTAACGAAGACGAACACCAGCGTGGGGGTGAACCGTCGCCTGGAAAGAGCACAGGCAGCGAGAAAAGGCCACCAAGTCAACGGGCAGGCTTCCAGCTCATGCTGTTTGGCGGGGGGCGGGGGGAGGGCAGAGACAGAGAGGGAATCCCCAGCCATAGCCTCGGGCGGCGCCCCTTGTGGGGGGCGTGTCCTGGGCCTGTGGACCGCACAGCAGGGCTGCGGGGCCCAATGGGGAGCCCAGGCTCCTGAGCACGCCCAGCTCGCGTCCCGGGGGCTCCAGGGACTGAAGCCCAGACGGGGTCCGCAGAACGCCAGTGCGTTGGACCCAGGGGCCGAGACGAGCCACCGTGCTTGTGCGGCCAGCCCGGGGGACCCTGCCGCGCCCGTCCACCCAGCCTGCTGACGGGCCCCCCCTCACTGTCCACGCGTGTCCGTGCGACCTGGCTGCGGGTGGAGGTGGGCCTGCGTGAAGACTGGGGGTGGGTGGGGGGGGTGGAGGAGGGTGTTCAGGGCGGGCTCTCTGGACCGGCTGCCCGTCCCTGAGGAGGCACGAGAACCGCGCGGGAGCGCACACACCCTGGGCCGAGGCAGCCGACCTGGGAAAGGCCTGCTCGTGAGGCCGGGAGCTCGGGTCCCAGGAGGGAGGTTTCTCTCCTTTCTCGGACAGGAGTCCCTCCTGAACCTCGCTCACTCGTGCAGACACTTGTTCACACGGAGCATTGCCCTCCTGGGAGTGTGGTTTGGGTGTGTGCGGGCCAAGGGGCCCACAAACACCCTGGGCTCTGGGTCCGTGGGCTCCCCCGTGAAGCACGTGTTGTCCCGGGACCCCACAGGACAGCGAGCCCTGCGCCTGGCTTCCGCTGATCTCGCCCCACATGCCTCTCCCCTTCGCCCACATGCTGCGTCCCTCCCCTGTGACACGTGCTAGCTGTGGGGGTGACCTCCACTGAGGCGGAAGGGCTCCTCGTGACCCTCGAACCTAGGGGTGCTCCTGGGGCCCCAGCACAGCAGGCCAGTGTGGGGCGGACGCGAGAATTCTCGGGGCAGGGTCCTGCCGTTCTGAGGAAGGCGTAGCCCTTCCTGAGAGGGAGGCGGGGCTGGGGGAGGGGCAGCCTGGGTGCCGGGAGGACCCCTGGCCCTCCTGGCCTCAGCAGGGACGAGGGAGAGAGCCTGGGCAAGCGGCAGGGGCCGCCGGACGGCAGGGTGGGGCAGACTTTCAGCGTGAGGAAAACAAACGCTGCCGAAGCGTCTAGAGGGGTCCTGCTCCGAGACCGGCCAGAGGGAATAGGCAAAAGCGCCCCTGCCCGCCGGACACCCCCTTTCCTCGTGCTCTGGACGGGGCGCCTTACCCGAGCCGGAGAAGAGGGGCCGGGCCAGCTCCTGCGGGTACTGCAATCCGGCAAACACGCCCGGGGCGGGGGGTCTGCTGGACAAGTCCAGCTTGGCGCCCACCTCCAGCTTGTGGGGCTCCAGCTGCACCTGCTGAAAAGGACAGAGCATGCGCTGGGCCTGTGGCCCGGTCGGCCCCTGACCACCACCAAGCGTGTGACGCTACCTGGGCACTGGTCCCAGTGAGGCCTCGTGACTCAGCACGGAGCGCGGCCGTGACAACGCGTGCCGGGCGCAGGAGGTGTTTCGTGAACTGCTCTTTGGAAGCTGTGTGTTTTACGCTAAAGCAGATCTCGATTTGGATGTTGCCTTTTCGTTGGAAATACTTTACCTGGGTTAAGATTTTGCAAGGCTGAGCTGAAACGTACCTACGTTGTTTTAAATATGCTTAAAAGCTCCCCTGTGACTGAATTTGGCATCACTAGTAACACTTAAATTTGTCTAAGTTAAACAAACCGAGAAAGCCCGCGCCTCGGCGCTGAAGGCCACACCAGGCACGGGGGCCGGGTGAGCGCTTCCTGGTTCCGCTGTGGTCCCGCAGCCCCTGCGGCCCTGCCAGCCTCCGGCTCCCCATCGGGGCAGCGGGGGCACGCTCGGTGTGACGGGGGAGGGAACCCCAGCCCAGGCGGGGACACCCCCACAGTGCTGCTGCGTGTGGAGGTCGCCCCGCCCCTTCCCCGCCCCTTCCCCGCCCCCAGGGTGACGCCAGGACACCTGCGGAGGGCAGCACCCGCGTCTGGTGGCAAGCCCCTGCCGACTTCTCGTAGCCTCCGGGACGTGATGGTATTTGAAAGCCGTGCATGGAGGTGGCGTGTGTGACCAGAGATGTGTGGAGGCGGGGTGGGGATGGGGCGAGGCCCTTGGCTGCCCTGCCGCCACCCCCCCGCCCCGGTCTGGGTGGGGGGCGGGTCCCCCAGCTGGCACCACCCACCCCTCCCTAACCGCAGCCTGGGGTCCTCCTGCGTGGTCCCCAGCCAGACAAGGGCGCATCAGGGACGCCCTGGTGCTCTGCCCGTCGGCAGCAGGGGCAGCTGGCGCTCACCTTCATCTTCTGCTGATGGCGATAGATCTGCCAGGCGATCTGCACGTGCATGGCACACCACTTGCCGGGTTTCTGTGACGGGGCGGGCCACACACTCAGCTGCACAGCGGGGACCTCTTCACCCTGCCCCCCCCCCACCCCCAGAGTCCTGCCGGCACAGGCACCCCTGTGGCCATGCAGGCGGAACCCAGGATCCTCCCCAGCTGCGAGCCTCCCTGAGGCCCCTTCCTCCCAAGGAGGCGTGCACGTCCACGCAGACGTGTGCCACACACTCACCCTGACTGCTGTCCGGTACGGGTCAGACACCTACCGTTGAGAGAGAACAAAGACTTAGGTCCAGGCTCTGGGGGTGGCCGGGTCCCAGGGCTGGCGGTGGGGGACGGACATGCCCCACAGCACCCACCCCCTCCCCCAGCGAGGGGCACCGGGCCGGCTGGGGTGACCGCAGGGAGGGTCGGGCACTGTCGCACCTACCCCGGGGGCTTTCTGGAGGAGGGTGTGAACAGCACTGGCTCGACCCGTTACCTCGATTGGGTTTGAAGTCTGAAGGGAGAGAACGGGGTGTGAGACAGCTGCAGACCCCGGGTGCCCAAGTCCATCTTCCACACTGCCCCCCCGCCCCCACCCCACAAGGGGAAGCCTGGGTTCCTACATCCTCAGCCCAAGGGCTTCTGCAAAGGTGGGAAGGGCATCCCGACACAGCCATGCCTGGGTTGGGGGGCTGAAACAGCCCGGCTTCAGGGAGGGTCAGAGAAGCAAGCCCAGTCCTGCACGGGGCCTCCTGCGGCACAGACAGCCCCGTAGCGGCCACCCCACACGACCTCACCTCTGCCCCGGTCCTCCTCACCCTGACCTTGAGCATGCCCAGCTGAGGAGTAAGCACGCGTGAAGCATGGCTCCCGCCGTCTCCCCCCCACCCTGCTGCCGTCTAGACCGGGGGTCCCGCCGCGGGGCTGCACAGATGCATCCCACCCGGAACGCTGGCTCACCCCCACACCAGGATCGCAGCATGGGACCGCGTGGCGGGGCCTCCCGCTGCGCCCTGAACCCTGTCCCACCCCAGGAGCAGCTGGTACCTTGGGCTGAAAAGCACCCTGTAGGGACCCAAAGGGGCCTGGGTGTGGGAGCAGGGTGGGCAGTCCGGGGATGGCAGAAGAGAAGGATGGGAAAAACTGCAAGAGAAAGACGGGAGCATTCCGGGGGCCCGCCCCCTGCACGCGGCAGAAGGTGCCCTGACAAGGCCTCTGGGTAGGCGTGGCTCCCCCCTTCACCCGCCCCCTCCAGCCCACGGACCAGGGCAGTGACCACGAAGGACACTCACGTTGGAATGTCGGAAGTAGGGGCTGTCCAGCTTGGGCGCGTATTTGTCAAACTGGAAGGGAAAGAGGTGGACGTGAGGCCTCCCGAGCCTGCCCACACCCTCCACGGGGCCCAGCACCCGCGCCCCCGTTGGCCAGGCAGTGGCCTGTCCTGCCTCCTGCAGCTGGTAGTCTGCGGCCAGCTGTCTCCCTGAGGGCATCTCCAACGGCCTTGAACTGGCCTCTTGGGCTCAGCTTCTCAAACTGGGTGGATCTAAGTAAGGGGCCCCTGTTCTAATGGTCCCACTGTGGGAGTTGCAAACTGGCCGGTCTGGACAGTCTGAATCTATTCCTGAAGCCCAGGAGGTGCTGCAGCCATGACGGGGGTCGGGGAGGGGGGGGGGGGCAGGGCCAGTGGTCAAGCAGTGAGACGCCCCCAGGCCCCCAGCAAAGCCTGGTGGGGGTAGACTCTGCCCCACACAGCAGCTGGCTCAAGAGAGGAAGCCCCAGGCCCCACGGGAGGGCATCCTGGTTCCCCGGCCCCTCAGCCCTCAGTCTCTGGACCTGCTGCAAACTGAGACTTGCAGACCCTGTGTGGGCACAACTGGCCCCAAGGCCACGTCACCTGTGTGGATGTGGGGCACCCGCCCAAGCCCAGGACAGGGAACCTCATGACATGACGTCACCCAGAGGGAGGGGCCAGAGGGAGGGATGGACGGCAAGGGCCGGCGTCGGCCTGCGTGCGTGCGGAGAGCGTCTGCGTGTGCCTGCTGTGTGTCCCGCCGCCCGGGCCGCCCCCGCCCGCCCGCCCGCCCGCGCGCGCGGGGGGAGGGGGGCCTACGCACCGGCGGGGGTGCGGCGGGCTGCAGGAGCGGCGTCGGGGGCAGCCCCGCGGGGAAGGGGGCAAATGTGTGTTGGTGCTGGTGTGTGTGCTGGTGTGTGTGTTGGTGCTGGTGGAACTCCGCCCGCAGCAGAGCCCCCGGGCCCAGGGGGGCGCCGGGCCGCTCAGCGCTCTGGACCAGAAAACGCGCGTTCAGCTCTTGCCTGAGCAGCTCGTGATCTACAAGAGAAAAAGAGAGAGAGACGGAGAGGCACGTCGGCCGCGGGCTCCCGGCGGGGCGAGGCGGATAGTCACCTGGCACTCCCGGTTTCGGCAGGCCAAGCCGTGGTGGCCGCTCGCTAGGTGCGGGCCCCAGGGTGGAGGTAAGAGAGGTGCCTGTGACCAAGTACCAATCAGAATCCCCGAATGAGGCTGGCAATACATGATTGGCTGGCTGAATGAGATCAACAGGCTGGCATCTAAAGGCAAGAAAGAACACCGTGAGCCGCCGGGGGGGGGGGGGCCCAGAGCCGGCCACAGGGGAGCCCTGCCCCGCCGCCCCCACCCCCATCCCCCAGCCCAGCATCCTGGTCCCATTCCAGGGCACGGAGCTGCCCCAGACCTGAGTTGGGCCGCTCAGAATCATAAAAAGAACTTGGAAACAAGACCCATGGGAAAAGAAGTCTTCAATGACCCAAGGTTCGGCCTTGAAGGGGCGCCCTGCCGGAACCAAACGGGGAGAGAGAGGCCAGACGGCCGCGGTTCACCTGGAGACCCTCCTACTCCAGGACGCGCAGGTCCCGGAAGTCTCTATTGGCAGTGGAGCAGCTCCAGGCGCCCCTCCCCTTGACCGGGCCTGGCCAGGGCTCGGGGCGGAGCCGGGGGCTCCGGTGTGGCCGCGTGCACGACGCAGGTGCAGGCAGGACGCCGCGTCTGTACTGGGCGGTGGGGCCCCCTTGGGAAAGGCAGCCTGGGGGGCCCAGAGCCCTGCCATCTGTCCATGGGGTCCTTCAGCAGGTGCGGGGTGGGGCCTCAGGAGACGGCACCCGTTCCCCGGGGCGAGGCCTCCCCACCTGCCCAGAGACCAGGATCAGAGTGGAGGGGGACAGCGACCCCCGGCCCCAGCCAGCACCTACCGGCAGGGTGTCCTGGGATGACCAGGCTGTTGGCCGGCAGCGCCGGGGGCGGGGGCAGTGTCGGGGGGGCGGCGAACATGGCCGCCGCGTGGTGCTGGTGCTGGGCCTGCGAGCGGAGCGCCAAGTGTGAGGTAGACAGGTGGGGGCCCGGCCCGAGAGGCGACAGGGACGCGTGCTTCGCGAGCCCGAGGCTGGCGCTGCTGCTGGCGCTGCTGCTCCTGCTGCGGGGACGAGGGCTCAGTGGCTGCGCGCGGGGGCCGCGCGGCCCCGCCCCCCGGCCCGCCCCCGCCCACCTGAGGCTGTGCAGGCCGTTGTGCGCGGCCTGCCCGGGGCCCGCGAAGGCGCCCAGGGGCAGAGGCACGTGCGTCGGGAGCGGGGCGCGGGGCTGCGGGGGCGCTGGCGGCGGCTGCGGGGTGAGGCGGGGCAGGGCGGGGGCTTCCTTCTTGACCGGCGGGCTGGCCGGGGCGTCCGGCGCGGGGCAGGCGGGGGGTGCGGGGCTGCGCACGGCAGGCAGGAAGGGCGGCGGCTCCGCGCTCAGCTCCCGGCTGCGCTCCAGGCCTGAGACCTTGGGCGGCGCCCCGGCCTTGGCCTCGGCCTCCTCGCCCAGCGCCGGGCCTGCGGGAGAGAGGGCGGAGTGAGTTGGGCCCACGCGGCGAGGTCCTGCCCTCGCCCCAGCGCGCGGGGCTGGGGCTGCGGCTGCGGAGCTGGGGAGGAGGAGGGCTGCCCGCGCAGAGGGCCCGCAGCAATCCCTGCGCGGCCCTCACGACCCCACTTCACGGAAGGGAGACGAAGGGCAGCACAGGATCGACCCCAGCAGAGCTCCGGCCCCGAACATGTGCTTCCCGCCTCGGCTGCACCTTCACTTGTTGCCCTTGCGACGAGCAACACGCATGCTAGTGGCCTTTTTTCTGGAACCACCCGGGTGACCCATAGCCTGAGCCCTCTCTAGGCCCATGACCTGGGGGGAGGAAGCTGCTGAACCCCCCCACCCCCCCACAACCCCCGTCCCACAACACCAACCCGGGCAGGTCCACCTGAGTCCGCTCCCTGGGAACCCAGCGCTTGTGCTCAGGTGTGCTCATGACCTTGAACTGCCGCCTACTCACTCCAAACCCTCCTTTCCAGGCAGTGTCTCAGGTTACATGCCCCGGGGGCCCGGTAGGTTAAGAAACACCCTAAGCAGGCTAGGCAGAGGGCATGTGTCCAGGCCAGAGGAGGCTTTGCCTCGAGGGGATGGCAGCCCAGTTTCCCAGGAGTGGAAATCAGGTCGCTGAGTGTGGTCACCCTGTTTGGGCTGCTGGCGGACCTCACGTCCTCCAGGGGCCCATCCCCCCTGCAGCCACATGGCTGTGGGACCCAGGCCAGCAGCAAGACCCGAGGACTCTGCCGGAACTGCTGGGAAGTCTCTTCCCCGGCAGAAACAGGCGGCAGCAGGAAACGGCTCCTCCTGCGTCCTCTACAGTGACATCTCCCTCCGGAGCCACCACCTCATCTGTTTGCTCAGGGGCAGAACCAGGGGAAGGCCACCGCCGCTAGCACTGCCATGAGAAGGGGGAGGGAGCACTGCCGGCTTCAGCCCCACGGGTCACGGCACGGCCTCTGCCCACGCACAACAGCCTGCGGGGGCCGGCCCCTGGCACGGTGAGAGCAGCCACCGAAGAGGCAGGCGTGGGCCATGCAGACTGGTGGCCCCAACCCTCCGGCCCTCCTGGAGCCTCTCCCCTCGCTGGGAAAGCATGAGCGACTCTTGATCACCCCTGGTGTGCACCTGCCGAGGCCCCTCAAGGCCTCGACTGGTTTCCTGAGCTCTGCCTGCAGCAGTGAGGGACCTGGCAGTGGGCTGAACTGTGCCAAAAAGCTGTGTCCAAGCTGTAATCCCTACTACCTGTTGATGTGACTGAATTTGGAAAAAGGGTCTTTGCAGATGTCACCAAGCTAAGAATTCTGAGATGACATCAGTCTGGAATGGGGTGGGCTCTAAATCCAGGGATGAGTGCCCTTGTAAGAGAAAAGGAGGTGGCAGCCAGGGAGGTGGGAGGGATACGGCCACAAGCCCAGAGACCCCCAGAAGTCGAAGAGGCAGGAAGGAACCTCAGAGTTTTCAGAGTGTGGCCTTGCCAACACCTTCACCTCAGACTTCTGGTCTCCAAACCTGTTGAGAGGGTAAGTGTCTGTCCGTCTTGAGCCGCCCAGTTTGTGATCGTTTGTTGAAAAGGAGACGGTTCTGTGTTACCCCCCGTGTGAAATGCCAGCAGAGTGCCTTTCTCTCCCTGGACCTGTCTGGCATCCCCGACCCTGGATGCTTGGCTGAAATGCGCCGATTCGAGGACGAGCCTTCTCCACTTGAAAGCATGTGGAGGCTGTGCCCTGCTGCATGGGACCTGTTGCTGAGGACGCCCGTCTGCATGTGCCGTGAAGCCCGTCCTGTGCAGTCACATCTGGAGGCAGTCTTGCAAGCAAAAGGGCCCCCTCTCCGCGCTGGGTCCAGTGATCCCCCCTGGGCCACAGCTGGTACTGGCAGGCTGGATTACAAAGGCCCCTCCTGGCCTTGAATGGCTGGATGCTGGGGCGTTCACTCTCCGGAGCAGTGCTGCCCAGGACAGCTTTGGGGCACCATGAAATGCTGTGCACCTGTGCCACCCGCATGGGGGCTACCGGGCAGAGGAAGGGCTGCTGTGCAGGGAATCTAGTCACTTCATGTCAGTGTGAGTCACGTATGCAGTGGTGGCGCTGGTGGCCAGCCTACACTGTGGCAGGGGTGCCTCAGCAGGGCCCAAACCATGACCTGCCAGTTGTCCCCAGAACACCTGACCCCATGAGCCTGGGGGAGGGGGAACGTGCACTACTAACAGTCCCGGGGAAAGGGCAGGAACCCCACTTTGGGAACCACTCTTCCAGTGCTGGCCCTGATCCTGACTTCTGCTTTCCTTGTGGCTTTCGCTGGGGGGCTGTAAATCATAGCACCTAACTCCTGCCTCAGGCATCCCCAGAATCCGACCCACAATAGCGCCTAACCTGGAGCCCACTCTCTTGCCCTGAGGGGCCCACTGCCCCCTCCAATGATGACTTCAAGAGTGTGTCCTGTCCCTTCCTAGAGGCCAGGAGGTGAAGCTAAGGAACGTGCTTACCTTTATCGGCTGCTGGGGCAAAGAGCTTCTCGGAGCCCACAGATGCCTGGAAGACAGAGAGGAGGATCAGAAACTAGAGGGGACTGAGGGCCTGGGGTGAACTAGGCTCTTACCCCTGCCCCCAGGAAACAAGTCTGGGCAGGTTTTGTGCCTGCGAGGGCTGGGAAGAATGTGTCCTCCTGTGCCCACAGCCTCCACATAGGAGGGCGAGTATGCCCAGGCCCAGCTTTGAGCAAGTGAGCACACAGGTCACTCAGCCTGTGAACCAAGGACGCCCTGCTCAGCAGAGATGTGGGGGCTCAGGGTGGCCCTGCCAGTGGGGGGCTGGGACCTGGGACTTGGGTGTCTCTTGGCAGTGTTAGACCCAGGAACCCGATGACTCCGCCGGGCCTGGGCCTGGAGGAGGGAGCAGAGCCTGGGACCGAATGGGCCGCGGGACAAAATGCGGTCACAGTGTGGCCCAAGTCACAGGTCTGGGGACCATGGCTGTGACGAGGTATCGGCTGTCCAGGGAGGAGCATTCCACTCCAAGTGGTTTCTGATGGACCCCACCTATGAGCTTCTCCTCCTGGGGAGACACCCACATGCACGCAGGGTTGCAGGATATTGGGGTGAGGACGTGGCCCTGTGTGGAGAACTTTGCCACGGCTCATGGGAAGGAGCTCCATTAAGACTGCCCTGACTAGGGGCGCCTGGGTGGCTCAGTCGGTTAAGCGGCTGACTTCGGCCCAGGTCATGATCTCGCGGTCCGTGAGTTCGAGCCCCGCGTCGGGCTCTGTGCTGACAGCTCAGAGCCTGGAGCCTGTTTCGGATTCTGTGTCTCCCTCTCTCTGACCCTCCCCCGTTCATGCTTTGTCTCTGTCTCAAAAATAAATAAACGCTAAAAAAAAATTAAAAAAAAAAAAAAAAGACTGCCCTGACTAGACCTTTTTTTGCTACTTGATTTTTTTTAAGATTTTATTTTTTTAAATCACGGATTTATTTATTTTGAGAGAGCGAGTGGGGGAGGGGAGAGAGAAAGAATCCCAAACAGGATTCAGCACAGAGCCTGACGTGGGGCTCAAACTCCCGAACCGTGAGGTCGTGACCCGAGCCGAAATCAAGTCAGATGCTTAACTGACTGAGCTGCCCAGGCGCCCCTAACGATTTTATTTTTAAGTAATCTCTACACCCAACGTGGGACTCGAATTCACAACCCCGAGATCACCAAGAGTCGCATGCTCTTTCAACCAAGCCAGCCAGGCACCCCACTAGTTGCCTTTTTTCAAAAAAAGCTTCACTGGTGGCGCGTCTGGGTGGCTCAGTTGGTTAAATGTCCGCCTCTTGATCTCATCTCGAGTCTCGATTTCAGAGTTAAAAATTAAAATAAAAACAGCTTCACTGAGCTAAAACTCACGTGCCATACAATTTACCTGTCAAAGGTGACAATTCAGCGGTTTTAGTGTATTCACAGCACTGTCCCCTCGGTGAGGCTTAGGACATTTTCATCAGCCCAAAAGGAAACCTTGAGGTCTTCAGCCATCGCCCCAACCCGCGTGCCCCCTGGCTGCAGGACCACTGCCTCTCCAGCGTGCGCAGAGGCCCTGGGCCACACTCCCACCGGCTGCTGTTGGTGGGTGTGGCCGGGCGGTGACACCGGAGGGCACGAGGCCATCCGCTATGACAACCAGGGAACACCTGGTGCCGGGGAGCATGTAGAGAAACCAGGACCCCCGCACACTGCTGGGGGGAAAAGGAAAAGGTGCAGCCACCGTAGAGGACGGGACAGAGGCTCCTCGGGAGATGGAACACGGAATTAGCACAGGATACCGCGATCCCACTTCTGGATACGTACTCCCCCAAACCGAGAGCAGTGTTTCACAAATACTTGCACACGAGTATTCACAGCAGCCGACAAACGGCCCGGTGCCCATCAGCAGATGTATGGACACACAGAATGTGGTCCATTTGTGCAACCAGCCCTAAAAAGGCAGGCAGTTCTGACACGTGCAGCAACATGGATGGACCCTGACGACACGATGCTGAGACAGGCCAGTCCAGCACGAACAACCATGGGATCTGCTCAGAGGACGTCAGATCCCGCTTATCCGAGGGGTCAGAGCCGCACGGAATAATGGGGTTGCCGGGGGGGGGGGGGGAGTTCACGTTTAGGAGAGACAGTGTCCGCTTTAAAGGTGACGAGAGTCCTGAGGTGGACGGTGGCGGAGGCCGTGCAGCAGTGTGAATGTGCTTTTAATGCCTCTGAACTGTGCACTTAAAAATGGTGAAGATGCCAAATTTTGTTATGTGTAATAAACACAAAATTTAAAAACCCACCAAGGGAGCTTTCTGGACCGATGAAAACGTTCTCTATCTCACTGTGGTGGTGGAAACATAAACACGTGTATCTGTCAAAGTGCATTAAACTGTACATTTAAAATAGGAGTGCCTTGGGGCGCGTGCGGGGCTCAATCAGTTACGCACCCAACTTCAGCTCAGATCACGATCTCGCGGTGTGTGGGTTTGAGCCCCGCAACAGGCCCTGTGCCGACAGGTCAGAGTCTGGAACCTGCTTCGGTTTGTGTCTCCCTCTCTCTCTGCCCCCTCCCCAACTCGTGCTCTCTCTCTTAAAGAGAAATAAACTTTAAAAAAAATTTTATAACGTTTATTTTTGAGAGAGAGACAGAGCATGAGCAGGGGAGGGGCAGAGAAAGGGGGAGACACAGAATCCGAAGCAGGTTCCAGACTCTGAGCTGTCAGTACAGAGCCCGACGCGGGGCTTGAACTCACGGACCGCAAGCCAAAGTTGGACGCTCAGCCGACTGAGCCACCCAGGTGCCCCTCTTTAGTTTTCTTTTTCTTTTGAGAGAGACAGAGTGCAAGTGGGGAAGGGGCAGACAGAGGGAGAGAAAGGATCCCAAGCTGGCTCTGTGCTGCTGGAGCCCCACACGGGGCCTGACCTCACGAACCGCGAGATCACGACCTGAGCCAAAATCAAGAGTCGGACGCTCAACCGACTGAGCCACCCGGGCGCCCAAAGAGAAATAAACTTTTCAAAAAAAATAAGAGCACCTCATGGCAGGTGAATTATGGTGCCGGACAGTCACAAGATGTGGCACTGACCCAAGAATAGGCCCACTGGTGGACAGAACAGAGACAAGAATCCAAAACAGACCCAGGCCCATGTGGGACCCAGGCCGGACGCTGCTAGTCTGTGGGGAAAGGGCACGTCATTCAAACGAACGGTGTGTGACGGGAGCTTGCTGCTTGGGAAAAGGGGAAGCCGAGACCCCCGTCTCCCCCCGCCCAGACTGATCAGGGATGTAAACATGAAACACGGAACCACAGATGCGAGATGAAACGTGTCGGCACGACACTTCACGAGCACACCGGAAGGAGGTTAGCCCTTTCTAATTGTGTCCCGGTACCAGGAAGAAAAGAGAGCGGTGAGTGCAGCCCCCACAACACAGGCTGGCATGCCAGGAGCTGGGCCCCTGCACCAGGACGCCTCACACCATGCACTGTCACGGAGCTCGCGGTGACCAGGGAGAAGGCCCCCTGGCAGGTGGGCCCCCAAGGCAGCAGAGTCCCAGACGAGGAAGGTGGGTGCGGCCAGCAGTGCTGGGAAGGGTCCTTCCTGCCCGGCCCGCCAGACCACCGAGGTCGCGTGCGACCTCCTGACCCACTGCCAGCCCGGCGGGACGCGCTGCACTCACGCACGGGGGCACCACAGCCGTGACCTCCTTCCAAGTTTGTTTCCTTGCCAGTGTGCTTTTTCCAGCACATTCTACCTGGTGAGGCGTCCCCATGGGGGTGGGGAGTCCACCAGAGCTGGGGGGGCTGCAGGGGCAAGATGCTGCAGGCCGTCAGCCCTGGTGGGGAGGGGGCAGTGCAGCCCAGGAGACCAGCGGCGCCGGCCCCCAGCCCACCTGGATCCTGGGACGTCTGCAAAGTGACGACGCTCCGGGACCAGGGCGAGGGCGGCTCACGCCAGGCCGCTTTATGGCAGGTGTGGCCCCACCTCTGCGCGTGCAGGCGTGAGGCCAGGTGCCTGATGCAGGGCCTGCCCAAAGACTCCCATTCGTCCTGAACCGGACCTCACCACGACCCAAGGAGGAGGTCCTGTAGGGCCACACAGCAGTGCTGGAGCGACAGCCGTCCCGCTGTGGCCCTTACCAGGGCTTGGGAACATGCTCACAAGCTGATTCCTCACAACTAAGAGCACCTTCTATCATTAAGTCAGCCAGCACAAGTCACTCCCAGACTTCAACACTCAAGCGTCTGCCCCCAACCACACCCTGCAGGGCTGTGGGAGACCTCACCCGGGGCCCCCTCCCTGATCTGGGACCCAACTGGCTGCACCGCCTGCTCTCTTCAGGCTCCAGCGGCGCCCCCTCCGTGGTGCCCAGAGCCAGCACGGGCCGGCTGACCAGGGGTCCCAGCCTGGGGTGGGGGTGGGGGTGGGGGGGTGGAGGAGAGCAAGTTCACTTAAGGCCGCACAGGTTCAGTTCAAGGCCTGGGGCTCAGAGTACCCACTCCCAGGGCCAGGAGGTGGCGCACAGGCTCTGGGAAATTCAAGGGGAGCAGAGGAGAGGGGGAGGGGGGAGGGCCTTCCCCACCACTCCCAACCCTGGATGCCAGCCTGGCAGAGGCAGGAAGGGAGGCCACTGTCCTAGGTCCATCCGGTCCCCACACCCCCAACTGCCACAACGGACCCAAGTCAAAGTTTGCTGGGGGAAGTTGAGGGAACTGAGTCCCTGCAGGGATCCTGGGAAGGGGCCTGGACATCTGGCCAGGCACAGCCATGCCCATCTGGGAAGGCTCTAAACAAACATGGCAGGCACGCTGGGCGCTCACAACCTCTGCAGGGCCGTGCTGTGGCCCAGGTTCCAGCCCCCTTCCCAGCGCAGGCAAACAGGCGCGCGCTCCTGCTGGATCCCACCCAGCACACACTCCCTCCGTTCCTTCCCTTCCAGGAGGAGGGGTCTGGAGCTGGCCAGCTGACCCGAGGCGGGTGGGCAGCCCCCAGAGCCGTGCAAATAACTTCCCAAGGATTATCTACTGGGACGTGACCCAGGCAGCCACATCTTCTCCAAACCTGGCACTGAGCCAGTGTGGGGGTGGAAGGAAGGGGTCACTCAGGGCCACAACACAGGTGGGAGGTCTCCGGGTTGCAGGTTCAGGGCCTCGGCGGAGGGGGCACGCCCGTTAGGGTGAGTGTCAAAACCCGGCACTAACTCCCCCTGGGTGCACAATCCCGGCCGCAGGCGGAGGTCACGGCGCGCTTTGTCTGCGAGGACCCGACCCCGCGGGGCAGCCTCGGCTCAGACACGCGGCACAGCCTCCGCCGGCCGCGCCCCGCCCCAGACAAAGAACTCCAACTCCGGGCAGGTGAGCGCGGAGGGAGCCGGGAACCGGGGTGGCCGGGACCCCGCCGGAGCGCAGACAAAAGCGCGCGTCCCCCACGACGCCCGGCCCCGCCTCCGCCGCGGGCCCCACCAGCCCCCCGCCAGCCAAGGCCCAGGACCCTCTGCGGGGATGCACCCCCTGCCCGCCTGCCGCCACGTGGGCCGCGGGGGCGCCGCCGGAGAGACACGGGGTCTCCGCGCGCCTGGCTCGCGGGAGAGACGGGGTGGGCAGAGCGCCGAGGGCCTCTCCTGGGCCCCCGCGCCTCTAGAGGGGGCGGTCGCTCTCCTGTCCCTGGCCCCCAAAGTCCAGAATCCCTCCCCGGAGCCACCAGCGCGCACTCACCGCGCGGGCGCCCCGGGTCAGAAGCGCTCTGCTGGCAGCTGCCGCTAGTCCTCAGGCCGGAGCCGGAGCCGGAGCCGGAGCCGGAGCCGGAGCCGGGCGGCATGGACGCGGGCGGCGGAGCGCGGGCCCCCGCC